ACGTATATGACGCCCTGGCAAAACCGGATTGCGATGATCCAGGTCTTGCCGAAATTGGCGAAAACCGGAACAAGGGAAGTGACGAGTGACGCCGACACAAGGACGCCGAGAAACACTCGTTTTGGCCCGTAGCGTTCCGCCATTCGGCCGCCAAGCAGCTGCGTCAGAATGTGGCCCCAGTAAAAACCGCTCAAAATTGCACCTTGCGTCGTTTCATCCCACACAAAAGGACCGTCTTCACGCTAAAAATTGAAAAGAAAAACACATTTTAAAAATTGCCTTCAATCTCCCATCAATTTCCGATTCATATCCAAGATCATCAAATATTTCCCTAGAAAAGAAAACAAACAAACAAACAAAGTCGTACCTATTAAATTAAAAATATAAATACGCGACCATTAAGTGCTGCCAACAAAAAGAATGCCAATTGATGAATTGAAAATCATTTTCCCACAAAATTTAATCTATGTGAAATGTTTACGAACTTCAATAAAATGTGGTCATTAAAACACATCTTTGGATAAATAATTAATCATCAACGGTTCGTAAAAATTAAAATTACGTCACACTCAATGAATGCCTAAGGAAAATAAAATTCAATTTTTTATAGAAATTTTCAGCAAATTTCATGAAAGAACGATTGTCCAGTAAATTATTTATGAAAAGGAAACTGCACTGTATATTATAAATTAATTTATCTACGTACAATATACACCTCATGCAAAAGCATGATAAACTGGGGTAATAAGCACAACGTAATGAATCTCAAAGTGGAAAAAAAAAGGAAAATACTTGAAAAACACAAATACACGAATTATTAACAAAAAGATGCAAAAACTAAGTAAGAAACGCAAGCACAAACATAGGTACAATTTTTGAAAGTGAAAAACAATGAAATGGCTCTCCTTAATATCATGCTCCATAATCTAATTCATGATCTTTTCCAATAAAAACTAAAAAAAATAATCCTATCCTAAGCCACGCAACTCTTAACAGCTTAAAAAATTATGCTCTGTAGATTTGCACTTGATTAGCATTTTCCAAGATAATCTGCAACCATCAAAATCATCACATGCAATCAAAATACCTTCCAAATCGGATGAGACGCGTTTTCTGAACCTGGCACAATATCCTCTTCAAAAATGTCATCCTCGAAGCATCTCTCATCGTTGAATGCCAATGTTTGACTTTCGTTTTCCATTTCCTTCACTTCATTTGAAAAGCTTTCGATTGAGTTCAATAACTGCCTTTCATGTCCAAGTTCTCTGACAGCTGTGAAGTTGACCATTGCCACCAAAGCTATGTTGGTCGTGGATTGCAACGCAATCGACGCCGTGAACCCAACAAACGTCACAATCACAGCCGTCCATCTCACTGAGATGATTCCTATTTCCAAACATTATTTTTGCAAAAAAGGAATTACCCAAGGAAGCATACACATAACATGAACAATATATTCTCCCAGCTCCATTCTCCGGAATGATTGTTCTGATTTGATTAAATAAATCTTTCCCAGCAGAAGTCTGGGATTTACAAGGAATTCAAACATGTAAGAGGCAAATATTTACCTATTTTCGAATCATTCACATCTTTCAAGGGTTGGTGGTCGACACATCCATTGGTTTCCACGGTAACTGGCAACTCTTCATTTTCTACTTTTTCACTGATTGCCATTTCATCAAAGAACACAGTAAAAACACTCCTCGAAGGACGAGAAGAAATATTATATTACTTCTGTTAAAGGAAGAATAATTTGATCCGATGAGTGGGAAAATTTTGCATTATAAAAAATGTATGAGATTATGACGAGTTCTTAAAGAAACTAAGAGTTCAAATTTATTTTTAAAACATGTTCAGAATTTCATTGGCATCATCAGCGGGACCAGAATTCATCCCCAATTTTATTCGTTTTTTGAGAGATTGCCCACAAAAACATTGAAAATATAAATATTTGGTGGAAGCAGTTAAGAAGTCAGTCAAATTTCCGCGGACCCATTTTTCAACCATTTCTGTCTGGGTTTCTTTGCGTTTTTTTTGTTATGCATGCGAAAATAATTCTAATAAATTTCCACCATCAAGGTAGCCTGCCTAGGAAATATTTTTAGTCATAATTTGATTGACTATGAAATGCAGAAAAACTTTGAGACGAACCTTTATATTGATAAGCGAGGGAGAGAAATAAATGTCGAAGATTGAAGTTCACTTTGGAGGAGCGGTTGGAAATTATATTCACCCTACTTCGATGAGTTGATGTTTATTCCTTATGCTGTATTTGAATATATTTTAAATTTCTAGCTGTAACACACAGACTTGCAACAATTTTGATCCGTGTCGGCGAGAAAAATATTCGAGGTTTCGGAAAAATTCATCAATATTTATTAAAATGTGTGACAGACATGAAGTGGATCAGATCTAAAAAAAAAAAAAAGTATCTCAGTAATCACAAAAAGTCATCCCCGAAAATGTAAAGTAATTTCGCCACTTCGGAGTTATTCGCCAAATCAATCAAAATGAGACACGCGTTTAATTGGAAAGGCACGCAATATACGAGACTGTAAAATCGTTGACTGACGAGAAACACGAGTACTGCGGTATACAGCATTAAAAATCATTAAAAAATTTTACTAGCATGAAAAAAGACACAGGTTTAAAACAAGTCTCGCGGATTATGTGCTGCGACTCGCAAAACCTTTCCCGACAATACTGCACTGACGGGTTCGTTCGTTCCTTTATTATTCCTTGGCCTATACCCGCCCTGGGGCCGAGGAACTCGTGCACACCAGTCAAGGCCTTTTCCAACATTAAACCTCGGGTTTGTGCTGAGGAATCTCACTAAAGAGCCCGGGTTCGGTTTCAGGCTCTTTATGCCATGTACCCTTCTTGTTTTACATCACCCAAGGCTGGGTTAGCACGTCCTATCCCGAGTTCGTTCACACGATTCCGACTCCCACCGTTTTCCCAGCATATATTTTGGACCAACCTACAAGTTTCTTCACCTGATGATGATGAATTCTAAATGTATATAAATGTTTTCTTTTGTTCAACAAAAAATTTGCCGAAGCAAGAATTTGTGAATCGCAACATTTTCTGACTTTTACTGCTCAGCTGAGAAAATTATTATAATTTTAAAATTAGCCTGAGAGTGCATATATTATAATGAAAAAAAACATGAATTAGAATTTGCAGAAGTCTTCTGTGGACCAAGCGTTCTGGAAAAAAATTTGAATATCACTTGCGAAAAGTGTAAAAAATCCGCGGTGTTTCCTCGCAGTAAAAAAATGCTATTTAATTTTTGAAATTATATTGAACCCAAAAACCCCTGTCGAAAAATTTGTCATAGTTTACACGTGATTCGCCCAGCTTATGCAAATATAAATTTATATATGCATGGCATCTGGTAGTGAAATTATTAGCAGCGTCTTTATCTCGAGTTACGAACACATAGGAGCCTTCGTCTTTTATTTTTCGCAGGTGCTGTGGTTTCGAATATCACTTGACGGATAAATAATTTTAATAGAGTACATTACAAAAAAAGTCATTTTGTGTTGAAGTACCTTCTGACAATTCTGAGTGGTTCAATCCTGACATAAAACATAGACTTGAAGCTTAATGAATCACACTTCAAACTATACACTTTCTTATGGTTTCAAGTGAATTCATATATGACAGTTATACGCACATTGAAGTAAATACTGTAGATCCAAAAAAAATTGTCTTATTGTGCTTTCGTGCGTGGTTTTGACCCTCAGCACACGTGTTGCTTCAATTATTGGCATGCGGAGTTTTGCGAACGTTTAAAAAAAATTTACGTCAGTCAAAAATGCTTCTGCCAATTTTTCGAGAGCCTGGCCAGAAAATATAAATATTTGGTGGAAGCAGTTAAGAAGTCAGTCAAATTTCCGCGCACCCATTTTTCAACCATTTCTCTTTGGGTTTCTTTGCGTTTTTTTTTTTTGTGTGTTATGCATGCGAAAATAATTCTAATGAATTTCCACCAACAAGGTAGCCTACCTAGGAAATATGTTTAGTCATACTTTGATTGACTATGAAATGCGGAAAAACTTTGAGACGAACCTTTATATAGTGATAAGCGAGGGAGAGAAATAAATGCCGAAGATTGAAGTTCACTTCGTAGGAGCGGTTGAATTTATTACGTGGATGCATGAAGGCCACATAAACGAGGTACTTCCTCAATTCTATCTTTTCAAACGATTATGCATTTAAACACACGTGAATGTCTGCAAAATTGAATGTTCGATAATTAAGACAAATTTAATTTTTTGTCTCTGATCTTTTTTCCCCCACAGTTTGACGGAGGCTTTTTTTTGCGACTTTCTCGGTAAAACATTTTCCTTGTTTAATCATCTCGTCTCAATCTTGCATTACTTGGTTTTCTGGTGCCATGATTTTCGGGACAGTGATGGATCAAAATTGCAAACGTCACTCATACCTTTCTTGCTGGGAACGAAAAATTCAATACAATGTATGAAAAAGTGGAATCTGGATTTCATCCGAGAATTTCATTTCCAAGTCAAATGATACTGTATCAGACAAACAGATTCTTCAAGGGGATTATATAGAATTCTCGTTTAATTAGTACGTAAAGCTTGATCAATTATTTTTCTTATACTGTATCTGCAATCTTTATTCTGCGTGTCAATTTATTCGCAATAACATCGTGGTGGTCTTATTCGATTTTTAACAATTTATTAATAAAGTTGACATTCGTTCAAGTTAGGTTAGTCACAATTAAGGCCGATGGATTTATCTACCTGAAGTTCTGGGAAGGAAGACCACGATTTTTAGGAAGAAGTAATTTTTATAAACATAATACATTTCTGCCAATTTCGGACGAATACCTCAGTAATTCAATCTTATAAGCCAGAGAATTTGTTGTGACGTCTATTTTATTTTTGTATTTTACACTCCAATTATACGGAATTTTGGAAATTCTGAGCCTTTTGTACTCACTCAGAATTTTTGCATAAATGAAATGACACCTTACTGCACAATAACAATTCGACCCGTCAGTCAAAAATTCAAATCTTTATAGGAACCGACTTCTAGCCAACAGTAACAGCATTGTTTCATTTTTAACATCTAGATGTCGCTGTCTGCTGATCCCAAAACAAAATCCTCGCTTTAGTCAGCAGCATGATCTGCAACGTGATTAAACCAACATGAGAGCTCATGGCATTCAGAATTTCGAAATCAATTTTTCTTCGAAAGAATTATCTTTCATTAAACTTAAATGATTGATACTTGGACTCGTTGTGGAGGAACATTTGTTGAACGCGTTACAAAACCTCGGATTGGGAAACAGCGCGGGAACACAAAATTGAAAACAAGTGCATGTTTCAAGCACACAAAAAAATCGTAAGACACCGGAAAAGCATGAATCAGTAAGCTTATAATTGTTTCCATCATTTTGTATGATTCGAACCAAATGGCATAATTTTCGCTCATGCAGAAAGCCTTTTGAACACGAATCGTTTCGAGCTATGGAGCTATTTTTCTAACGAGCGTTTCTTTTGATTGAGCTCCATCAACTTTTCAGGAATGCCTTCGCATCACTCAAGGACCCCTTGTTAAATGTCATTCATTGTTTNACGTGATTCGCCCAGCTTATGCAAATATAAATTTATATATGCATGGCATCTGGTAGTGAAATTATTAGCAGCGTCTTTATCTCGAGTTACGAACACATAGGAGCCTTCGTCTTTTATTTTTCGCAGGTGCTGTGGTTTCGAATATCACTTGACGGATGAATAATGTTTGTAGACTGCATTACAATGTCGGGCAAAAAAAGACATTTTGTGTTGAAGTACCTTCTGACAATTTTGCGTGGTTTAATCCTGACATAAAACATAGACTTGAAGCTTATTGAATCACATTTCAAACGATACACTTGTTTATGGTTTCAATTAGGTGAATTCATATATGACCGTTAAACGAACATTGAATTTAAACGATTCAAAAAAATATTTTCTTATTGTGCTTTCGTTCGTGGTTTTGGCCCGAACACATGTTGTTTCAAATTGACATGCGAAGTTTTTCGAATTAAAAAAAAATTTAACGTCAGTCAAAGCATTTTTCAACATACTTCTGCCACTTTTTCGAGAGCCTGACCGGAAAATAGAAATATATGGTGGCAGAATTTAAGAAGTCAGTCAAATTTCCGCGCACCCATTTTTCAACCATTTCTCTTTGGTTTTCTCTGCGTTTTTTGTTTGTTTTGTTATGCATACTACGAAAATAATTCTAATAAATTTCCAGCATCAAGGTAGCATGCCTTGGAAATATTTTTAGTCATGATCTGATTGATAATGAAATGCAGAAAAACTTTGAGACTAACCTTTATATTGATAAGCGAGCGGGAGAGAAATAAATGCCGAAGATTGAAGTTCACTTCGGAGGAGTGGTTGAATTTATTATGTAGATGCATGAAGGCCACTTAAATGAGGTACTTCCTCAATTCCATCTTTTCAAACGCATAATGCATGTAATCCCACGTCGAACACACGTGAATGTCTGCAAAATTGAATGCTCGACAATATCAAGAAAATTTAATTTTTTGTCTCTGACCTTTTTCCCTCACAGTTTGACGGAGGTTTTTTTTGCGACTTTCTAGGTAAAACATTTTCATTGTTTAATCATCTCGTCTCAATCTTGCATTACTTGATTTCATGGTACCATGATTCATGGTGCCATGGTGCCATGAAAAATTCAATAAATGAAAAAAGTGGAATCCGGA